TTGATATCATTTGTTTGATGATGACCCCCCTGTTTTAACCTGATATACATTTGAGTTGCTATTTTGAAAGCAGGCTGTCATGCCACATTTGATGGGATCTATCTGCTAGTGTAGACATTGTGATAGAGGCCTGAGAGCATGAGTTTTGAAGACAGGTGGTCCAACGTTAAGTCACAACTGTGACCTTGGATAGGTAATCTCATCTCTCTCTGTTATGTTGATAACAAATCTCTGCTTTCAAAAGTTATAATTAAATAAAATTGTAAATATGATTTTATGAATTGGTACTTTGCACATACAAGTCACTGATTTCCAACCAGACCATGCTAGGGAAGGTGAAGGAATCCACACAGCTGCTAGATATATGGCTCAGATCATAGAATCCTAGAATCAGATAGTGTAAGCAGACCCTAGAAATAAAAGATATCTTTGTGCCCCCTCCCACATGGGGCATCAAAGAGAAATCAGCCTAATATTCAGGAATATATTTGGTTTTAATTGACACTGATGTTTGTGCTCATATTGGAAGTTAAATTTTAGTGAATCCTAACATTTCCCCAATTCATCTATTTTAATTTCCCTTCGTCCATTGTAGTCTTCCAACCCAATAAAGCTGGTCTGTGAACCATGACAGTGCAATTACGGAAATAGGTTCAGTCTCCTTGACATCACCAGACACAGTGTCAGGGGACCAGGTCTTCCTCATGCATATGCTGCACTGATAATTACTTGTCTCTAGAAATAATGGCATGTCAGGACATGAAACCTGGGGCTGCTGCCTTTATTTAATTAGGCGAGACTGAATTTGCACATGCCTGTGCATAAAAAATAATCACTTAATGTAATTGAATATTGGTTTTTGGTATGCCCTTTCCCCAATGAGGCAGCTTCTAGAAAGATCAAAAGACGATTTATTCTCATACAGTATATGCAAAGAGAACTAAGTGTGTGTCACGTTGCATTTCATTATAAATTTAATCCAGAGCTCCAATTAACAGGCCTTTTATTCTCTTTTATTAAAATCACTTTCAAAAAACTAAGGCAGCATGATTTTCATGGTATCAGAGAGCAAGCAATGAAATCAGCAGTGCCTCCATTTCATTTCTGCACGTGTTCTTTTCCTGCAGAAGTGAGATCTGAGGCTTGTAATGCCCATCTAGGGGATCATAAGGTTTAAGGGGTTGAAAGGCCCTGGGTCTGAAAATTAGCCAGCCTGTAAGCCTACCTCCTACAGACACACATGCACACAAAGATACCTCTCCACTCCAGGGCTCACTAAAGCCCACCTTAGGGGAACCCTAAATCCAGGGCATAGGACCCCTTCTCTGAGTCACTGAGGTTTCTGCTGTGCTGGGAAGGATCCTTTCCCCCAGAGCAGGGGCTCTTCACTTGGGATTCATACACATTTGGAACTAGAGGGAGGAAGGGCAGTGAATTCCTTGAAATGATTATGTACTCTAGGAAGAGGGTCTTCAGCCAGATTTTTTGATTCATGATCCAAAAAAGGTTAAAGAGATCTGTTTCTTAGAGAGCTGGTCTTAGGAATCAGATGGATTCGGGCTTGAATTGTGTCCAACAGATTCATGATCCAAAAAAGGTTAAAGAGATCTGTTTCTTAGCGACCTGGTCTTAGGAATCAGATGGATTCGGGCTTGAATTGTGTCCAACAGATTTTAGCTGTGTGGCCTTGGGCAGGCAACAAGACCTCTTTGAACCCCCATTTTCTAGGTGTAAAACTAGGCTGAGTACCTAATTTAAAGGCTGCAGTAACTGGTATAATAAATATTTGACAGATAATATATATTATAGATGTTAATTTTTCTTTAATGCTACAAGTAAAAATGAAAGCAAGTGTTTGTTCTGTCTTGTCCTTGCTAGTGTCTCAATCACCCGTCATGCTGTCTTTACATAGCAGGCACTCAAATGTTAGTTGAGCAGATGATTGGATGGATGGAATACTTTCTTTTAATGCTCAGATGAAGTCTCTCAATGCATTCCCTCCTCAATGCATTCACTTTCTAAGAATTTCAGTGCTATCATTGGTTTTGCTAAGACCCTCCACTAATAGAGAGCCCCATGTCCTAGGTAGCAGGCTTTGTGGATACTGTGATAGGTACATCTGCTTATCTTGTGCTAAAAATTGTGATCTCTGCTAGGTCTATATTTGTCTGTATCAGAGCTGAGCAAACTATAGCCTGTATGTGAAATCTGACCCATTGCTTGTTTTTGTAAATACACAATTTTATTGGCTAATTGATTCATGTATTGTCCATGACTGCTTTTGTGCTGTGGCAGATTTGAATAGTTAGGACAGACACCAAAGGCCTAAAATGTGTATTATCTACTTTTTATGGAAAAAAATTTCCATTCCCTGACACATATTATCACTGCTTCTACTAGCCCTGCAGGATTGGTCATAAGATGCCCCTCCGATGTACTGTGGAACTAAGACCCAACAGTTAAATATCTTCCTTGTGGTTTTAAAATGGTTGGGAGACTCCAGGTCTGTGAGATACCACAGCTCTTGCTCTTCCATTAAACACTGATAGCTTTCAACGTAGCCAGAACCTCCCTGAACCTATTAACATCTTCCGGTCCTGCCTGGTGACTATGTCTAGCATGAAAAGAAGGCCAGTGATGTCCCTGGGATTGTGTGGCAAACTGGAGCTCCTGGCATTTGTCTGCATGCACCCTGGCTCAGGTCTGCAGTCTGAATTGTGTGGATGTAGAAGTAGGTGAGAGAGGGAAGAGGACATCAGGGACAGATAATGAGGATGGCAGAGTAACAGGTATGCAGTTGTTGATCAGCAAGTGTGCTGCTCCCCAAGGCTTAGCAGGCTCAGCATTTCCAAAAAGGTCCTAGCTGTTGAAGTGGCCTCCACCCTTGCTCGCTGCTCTTGGTGAGTCGTGTGATGCTTGTGCATTTTCAGCACACTGGCACTTACCAGACTTTTCCTGCTCCAGGCTCTGAGACAGTAACAGTATTGGACCTCAGCACTGCTCATTGGTACTGACTCCAATTTCAAGGTGAAAGATGCTTCACAATGAATTAATCCTGATGGAAATTTGATTGTTGCAAGCTTTTACCTCTGAAATTCTAAGGCTCTTCTGTTAATATTCCATCTGCCCATTACTCCTACTTCACTCTCTACTTTCACCCTCCCTATTAACTTTCCAAGCTTGTAAACATGTGATTAAACAAAAGAAACAAAATTGGAAAAGCCTGTTATTCCTGCTTTTACTGCCTGTCCATGTTTGACTTGTAACTCTGAAAAGCTGACAACAGTACACAGACAAAATTATGGCCACCCAAATGAAAGTAATACAGTTGGGAGAATTTATCCATCTGCTTGTGCTCTGTCTTTGTGGTTGGCACTCAGGAGTGTCTGTGGCTGTCATGTCTTCTGTCCTGGAGCTGCTGATGGAGGAGTCCACAGAAAAGCAGCAGAGTTGCAGGAAGCAGTCACAGATACAATTAAATTTCTGTTTCATTATGTAGGGTAAGGAAAAATGTCAGGCTTTCCTGCCCTCCGGCCATCAGGATAGATGATGGATCCTTGCAGTCCTGAATGCATGCCTGATGGAGGGCACCTGGAGTAGGGTGTGGGCATAGGTAGATGGGATTCACCTGGGCTGAGACTGTGCTTTTAAGGGCGGCATCACGGGGACACCAGAAGAAGCCGAGAAAGAAGCAGCAGAAGCCGAGGAGAAACTGAAAGAAGAAGCCAAGTGAAGTCCGGAGAGCCCGGAGTGAAGACCTGCTGGGGGCTGGGAGGCCTGCCAGCGTACTGGCCCCCCAACACTCCTGCTGCCATGTACCTGCTAAATCCCAATAAAATCCTGCAAAAAGCCACTGAGGACTCTGACTCCTCCTTTACCCGGTCTGCTGGATCAGAAAACCTGCACTGTGTCTTCCTGCCTTTACACATTGTATTTTGCAACAGTGACCCTGATTTCTCCAAAGATGAAATCCTATAGCCTCACTCTATGACTTTCACACCCTCTGAAGTCAATGAATCTTTTAGCATGTGCTGAAAGTATAAAATAAAAATGGGACTACTAGGGTGGAGGAACCTGGTAAAATTAAGTCACATTTCATTTGTTTGTGCCAGTGTAAATCTATAGGGAAATAATGGGTTGATTAAAATTCTTGGTCTGTTGTTTAATTATTTAGAGTAACTGCTTCTAACAGAAAGATGTGTGTGTGTGTGTGTGTGTGTGTGTGTGTGGCCCTTTTGATTTATTCATCACATATTTTAATGCCCAGTTCCCTGTTTTTTAATATTTAAAATATCCAAGTAGCGCTCCATGTTTTGTTGTTGTTGTTGTTTGTTTAGTTCTCCCATGATTCCTGGTACTTCTCTTTGGTAAATGTAAAACTAAGGTAAGTGCCAATTTAAAGGCTGAATGGGAAGGTTCATTTGTATTTGTCTCAGAAACTTGTTTGTTCAGAAGCAGTCACAAAATTCAGATACCTGATGGAGACTAGAGAGCAAATTTTAAAATTATAACTAATTATTGACCACTTTGAGTATCAAATTTTGGCCTTGATTGATGAGGCAGAGTTGTGATGGTGATGCAGTCATTTCTGAGGTGAAGAAGAGAGGTGAACAGGCACAGAAACCTACATGAATGATGCTTCCTAGCAGCATTCACCCAGGTGTACAGGGTACAAGCAATTATGTTCATTTGGGAAAGAGCAAGGCTTGTTATGAGCTGGCCATGTCCTACCATGTAATAATCAACGCACCAAAACAGTTGTTTGAGAGTCCTTGTGTTTGAGAGTCTCATGGCCTTGCTAGTTTCTGGATGCTATTATTTCTGCACAGCTTTGTAACTGTGTGTGTGTGTGTTTTTTTTAAGTCTACACATTTTCATTATTGGTTATAGTTCGGTGTATGTGAGCAGCAGCATTTGGGGGTAGTTGTACATAAGGCTTTTATCTCTTGACTGCCAGCTTTGCTGAGCTCACATGTTGTCTTTATTTATGTTTTTGCCAGGGAGAAATGCCTGCTGCCTCTCCAGTTGGCTTTGGAGTCCAAAAATGTGAAGCTGGCCCAGCACGCCTTGGCAGGGATACAGGTATGGCTTGCAGAGTGTGGTGGGGCGGCGGAAATTGACAGACCACTTTCGCATTGAAAGAGCAAATACTTAATGTTTTACATGCTTGCTTTTTAAAGACCCAGACAGAAATGAAACTGAAGTAGGTAACAATGATAGAGGATAATAGGATTTTCTTACATTTACTGGCATTTGCACAGCAACATCTTACTGGGACTTTGTCAGCTGACACTGATTCATGGGGGCCCACCTAGCCCACCCAAAATGAAATGGTTCTTCTGATGTCCAGCTTTTAAGAGAGTAAGGGATTCCAAAAGAGACACCTCAAGTTCTATGCCAACTGAACTCTTTTGTACATTCAATATCTGTGTTTCTGTCTAATGAGACTTGATGGGTAAACTGAAAGATCTTATTTTGTTTTCTATTCTACAGTGTTGGTAAATGGATTAATGTGATTTGTTCCCAAAGAAAGATTGGGAAGAAGAAGGAGATTTGGAGTTAATAAGGACAGTCAGAATGTTTGGACACATTTCTTTCTCTGAGCAGCATTATTTCATTTGTATTTTACACCAAATGTTATAGGTCCAATTCCAACAGTGCAAAGGTGATGACTATAGAAACACTGACTTCTTAAGTGCTTTGGTTTCTATCTAACGAGCACTGTGAGCTCAGGCCTGCAGGGGTTTATTCACATGGCCATAGATTGGTGGCATTTGTCAGTTGCTTTTCACATCAGCTTGTACAATTTCATCATTAGCTCTTTAAGTTCAGAGAGGTTCCTAATACTGTTTAGGAGAAAACTGCTGCTCATTCTTTCCCCAGTGGCTTGGAATTACATAATCTAGGTTTTAATATGCAGTAGCATTAGACAATTCTACACATCATCAGTGTCACTAAAGGCTCTTTGCTTTTTTGGTTATTGGGCCAACCATAAAAATGAATGGGAGTTGGTTCTGACTGGCCATGTGTGTTCCTTTTTTTTTTTCTAATAATATATAGATTTCCCATTTAGTTAAAAATTTTTTAAACACTCATTCTGACTTCTGGAACCTTGTTTTTGAAGGTTTTCTAAGCCTGGTAACTGCAGTGACCTGGTGGATTGCGTGCCTTCCTTTTACTATGCTGTTACCTTCTGTCAAATGTAGATAATTTTTAGGGTCTCTGAGTCTTGATCTGCTTAATTAAAACAGATTGGTATATAAACTGTAACTTGAGGGTGCCCTGGCTTGCACTACATGATAGTGAAAAATTACTGGAAGGAATATGGACAAAAATATCAGAGACCCCTAAGAAGAAGGTTTGAAATACTTGTTTTCTGGGTCTGCAGTGGCATCAGCTAAGAGAGGACGTTATAATGCTAGATGAATCAGAATCCCAGAAGTTCGTCACAGACTAAAATCTACATGGAATTGGTCAAGGACAAATTTAACATGGATAAATATAAAGTCTTAACTAGATTCTCAAAAATCAACTGCCCCAGGACAGACTGGGGAGAACAGTTTAATTGCAGCCCTTGTGAATGAGAATTAGGGGTTTCAGGGTGAGTCAGCATAGAATATGCTGTGACTGACAACTAAACCAATTTGATCTGAGAATGCAATTAAAGTCATGCATTATGGGTTTTTGGTGTTTGTTTTTAAGCCATAAACACATTAAGCTTACATAACTACAATTTTGCAGATGGGCAGTTCCAGATTTGGTGCCACCAAAAACCCATTGTGGCTTCTCTCTTTCCCTTCTTCTATCTTTTAATTTAAGATCTAACTTTTCTAGAGCTGTTTTAGATTTACAATAAAACAGAGAGAAAGTACAGAGATTTCCCACATATTCCCAGCCTGCGGTCACGTGTATGGCCTCCCCATTATCAGCATCACTCACTAGAATGGTACCTGTTTCTACCAAGGAAGAACCTACATCAACACATCACAGTCACCTGCAGTCTAGTTTACCTTAGGGTGTTCTCTGGGTGGCCTTCCTCTTTAAAACAGACCTCCCCTGAGATGTTCCATCCCTCTGGAAGCCATGTGTTAAACAGGAGACTATCTGAAACTATATCATGCTGAGAACATTTAAACGTGCCCAAGGCATTCTAGTGTGGAGAAGAAGGACTTAGATGAACTTCAGAGCTGACTCCACATATTTTAGAAGCTTCACCTGTGTGGCTCAAGGGAAAGAAGAGGGTGTGGACATCGGAGTCAGATGGGTTTGGGTTCAATCTAAGGGAGCATTTTGTGAGAAATAGGAATTGTCCTGAATAGAAACAAGATGTCCTGTGAGGTGTCGTGACCCTGGGGGACCTCATGCTAAGGAATGGCATCTTATTTTAGGTTTCTGGGGTGTTCATTTTCTGATGAAAATACATTGCGGTTCATAGATTCATGAGTCATTCCCAGGTAAGTGGTAACTCACATTAGGAAGTACAAAAGGCAAGTATCTGCAAAGTGAACTTGTCTACAAGACCATCTCTGCTGTGACACAGCTGCCCTCAGAAGGGGTGTGTGTGAGTGTGGCTGTGGTGAGGGGCTAGCTTCCCCTCGGCACCGTCGTCCTCTATCCCCAGCACCCAAACAGCCCATATGGCTGCCATGTTAGACGTTCGGATGTAACAAGTAGGATGAATTATCTAGTAGTAGGACAAAGTCTTTGCCAAAACCAATTTACTAGAGATTTGATGTGTTTTTCTTCTTAACGGCACATGGCATGGGTTTCTTCCTGACGGCCTCTCCCTCTGTGCTTCCCCAGTAAGGAAGTCTCCTCAGCACACACTGAGATACTGCAGAACAAGGGAGCAGAGAAAGCTTATCTGTGATCACTGCCTGTGCCTCTTTACAGAAGCTGCTGTCAGAAGAGCGGTTCGTATCCATGGAAACGAACTCTGATGAGAAGCAGCTGCTCAATCAGATACTGAATGCTGTGAAAGTGACTCCTTCCCTCAACGAGGACCTGCAGGTGGAAGTGATGAAGGTGGGTCGGGCACAGTGACCAGACCATTTGCGTCACTGGCCTGGGGACAGAATGGGACAATCCCCCCCACCCCCCCCACCCCCAGCCCAGCACTCACTGTGATCATGACAATGCCTTCCTGCAGTGGTCTTGCCTGCTCACCCTGCACATGGAATTTGGTGCTTGGTCATTAGCCTTGCATATGTTTCTGTGGAATTACCTTGTTGTTGAACAGAAATGACAACCTAAGTAAAAAGGTACAATTTCAGTAAATCTGGAAGATTTTGGCCTGATCCTGCGTATCAAATGTGATTGGGAAATGTATTTATCACCTTTAAGACGATGTGTGTGAGCAGTAGTTTCAGCTTGTGGTAGATAGAGCCTCTTGTTCCAGTGTGTTTGGGTGTGTTCTGCCTGCCTGTTTATGTTAAAACAAACCAAAGACTTAGTGACACAGACTGGGTTTTAAAATAATCAGTTTAGGAGCAGGGAACCATCCTTGGGAGCCATATCATAATCACCTCATTTTTTCCTTTTTTTCCTCTAATTATGCGAAATGTTTTCCCACATTGTAGTCACCATCTCCCTTCTTAGGGATGGCTTCAATCCCTCCCTTCTCTCCCACTTTGGCAATCACCATGATTGGGAGCCCCTCCTACTGACTGGAGTGTGCACATCCTGCGAGTGAACAGTGAGTTGTGTAGAAAAGTATAGAAATCTGTGTCCCAGAGCAAGAGCTTGCTCAGAGTCACACAGACAGAACCTGCAGGCTGGTGTGTGTAATGTCACCTGTCCATTTCCTTCCTGGAGCAATGTGTGGGGGGCATATTGGAGAAGGTTTGGTGTCATTTAATGATTGATTTCTTCCTGGAACTGCACTGAAGGTTTTTTGTCTTGGGTAGAAAATCCACTACTCTGCATTTCAGTTTCTGTTTCAGAAAAGACTGGATGTAGAAGGTTGGAGGGTGAGCTTTGGTGTCTTATGAAGAGAATGTACCCCATAGGGTTTTGTTAGTCTCCAGGAATACAGCTTTTTGTGGAATACAGGAATTTGTATTAAAAAGTAAAATGAGAAAGTACCTGTTTTTCTAAGAGCTGTGGAAAGGCAGGATGTTTGATGGTTGTGTCAACAGTAACACCTGTTTTGGAAACTTACACTTGCCTTCTCACCCCAGCCCAGCAGTGCCTTCTGCTAGCCTTGCTGAGGACAGGAGTTGGCACATGTTAACTCTACTGGAAATCATCAAGATCTTTTCATAATGGACTTTCTAATGGTACCAGAATAGACATTGGTATTTATAATTAATGTCTGGGAAGAAAGCAGAAATTGTCAGAAAAAAGAGAGTCAGTAATCTGGGCTGCCATTATTTACAATTAGAATTCCAAAATGTTTAAAAAGCTAAGGTTCTTGGCTATATGCTATTATGGTCAGCTTTTTAAACATTAGCATTGGGGAAGAACATGTCAGTTCATAGTAAAACTAGCCTTCGGCTAATTTTTTTGTAGTATACTTTCATTTTAGGCAAAAATTTTCAGTCAAGCAGCTAGAAAGTTGAGATAACTATATTTCAGAGGGATGTGACTGGTGGCATCGAGGGACGCTTTGGAGATAGTGGTCTGACTGGCTTAGCCCAGATGTGAGGGCACCATGACCACTTTCTATTTCTGAAATTTAAATTACATGTTTGGGTGTGGACATATATTCATATTACGGCATTTCTGGCTTGGAAATAATAAACTTTTTTTTTTTTTTAATTTTCTAGAGGCATGTCTTATTTATTTATTTATTTATTATTTGTTTGTTTGGTTTTTATACATGCACTGGGTACAGTCAGAAGCGCGGGAGGGTGAGAGAATTCACCAGAGCCAGAGCGGGGAGCAGAGCAGGCAGAAGGACCGAAGTACACTGCTGAGGGGAGCAGCGGGCGGCAGGAGAGGTCTGCTCGCCATGTGGGACACTCCTCCGGTGGCCGGGGAGCAGCCGGGGATCGAACCGGCTGCAGAGGCTGCAGGCAGCTTCGCAACCCAGCGCTCAACCGCTGCGCCACCGGGGAGGCCCGGAAATAATAAACTTTATACCCTTTCTCTCTGCGTGATGAATCTTTGTACCAATTTTAGTCATCTTCAGATGTGTGCACCCTTTTGTCTGAGAATAGTTGTAATGAGCCAAGTAAAAACTTTCCAGTAAGTTTGTCTTGCTAGTATCATTACCATCTTAGTACTTTAACTGCTCATTCTCCTTAAAGTCATATTTAAGTCAAAAGAAAATTGGATGAGTCTGCAGAGGAAAGGCTAGAATTCCTCCAAATGAAGGATTTGTTATATATGAAGCGTATATTACTTTATTCCTGGTGCTTCAACATAACTCACTCTGATCACAAATTATCAGAGCTATTTCCTATAAAAATCTTTCTGTCATCTTATATGGATATTTTGTAGGTACAAGAAATCCTTTAAAATGAGGTATGGTAGGCATTTGCAGATGTTGGGCTGACTGCACTATTGAGGAGAGGTAATCACACTGCAGTTTTTATTTATGTCTGTCCAATCACAGCATAGCACATTCTTATAGCAAATCCTAGGTGCTATTTTGAAAAAGCTGTATCATGCATTTTACTCACGTTTTGCTATCTGCTAGTGTTTATAAACATGAGCAATTGAACCATGTCACACTCTTAAGAGTGTGTAGCAATTGTACTAAATTCCTGTAGAGAAAATAATATGGTTTCCTCTTTTAGGGACTTTCCTGAGATTAGAGACAGCTAATAATGAAACCCAAGATTCTAATGGTAGTGTTCTCATTTAGAAAGAAGGCACTAGATGTTCAATTGGAGGGTTAAAAAAAATGATGCTCGCATCTGACAAATTATAGGAATGAGATTAGATCACTCAGTCAAGGGACTAAGGAACTACATGGTTTTATTATCTAACAGGAGGGGGAGAAAAGGCAGCTTTGATTTATTGAAATGGCCATGGAATCCACATAAATATTTTGTAGCTTGAGCAAATAAAATTTCAGAACTTTAAAGAATCAGAAAGGATGTTTTTCTAAAGATAGATTACCTTTTAAATGGAACATTTATATGGTTGGCACTACATAATATTTAGATTGAATGGTTGTCTGCTTTGGCAGCATTTGCCTGTGGTCTGTGCCATTTCTGTAAATGCCATGCAGACCTCATAGGAGCCAGGTACATAACTAATGACATCTTTGACTAGAGCAATTAGGACTCTTTTCTCTCCCCCCTGTCTCCCCGCCCTCTTTTATTTTTTTTTTTTTTTTTTTATAGAGGCATACTTTATTTATTTGTTTGCTGGTTTGTTTGTTTGTTTTGTTTATACATGCACTGGGTACAGTCAGAAGCGCGGGAGGGTGAGAGAATTCACCAGAGCCAGAGCGGGGAGCAGAGCAGGCAGAAGGACCGAAGTACACTGCTGAGGGGAGCAGCGGGCGGCAGGAGGGGTCTGCGCGCCATGTGGGACCCTCCTCCGGTGGCCGGGGAGCAGCCAGGGATCGAACCGGCGCCGCAGAGGCCGCGGGCAGCTTCGCAACCCAGCGCTCAACCGCTGCGCCACCGGGGAGGCCCTCCCCGCCCTCTTTTGATGGATGACCTTTAGCAAGGTTATTAGTTGAAAGAATTGACTGAGTCTTTGACTGATGGGAATTACATCTGGCCTCCTGCCTCTAAGAAGCATGTCAGAGATGTGAGCATCCTATCTGTGGAGGATAGTCTGGTTTTATTGATATGGAAGAATGTGAAACCGGATACCGAGGAAGCATTTGATGTGTGTTCTGATATTGGACATCTTATTTTATGTGCATCTCTGAATTCTAGAAATGAATATTGATGGAATACTTTAGGTTTTCAAAGGAGAGATGGCAGCGGCTAATTTCTGAATATCATGCATCAGACACTCTAGCAAGTGCATTTGTGCTAAGATCACACAGCTAATAATTGACAGAGCCAGTGTTTGAATTGTAATTCAGCCTGGAGCCAGACCTGTGCTCTTAAACAGTGGGGTACTTACCTTCCAAGTCTATCCTGGAAGACACCTAGGTGGTAGGTGCTCCTATTTCCATTTTATTAATAATTGATTGGAAACATTAAGTCACAGCCCCTTTTTAAGGGGCAAAGCTAGGAGTGGCTCAGAGTCCTGCGTGTTTTCTGTATCTTCCCGCGACAGTGTATTCTCTCACTAGGTACATGAGCCAGACTCAAGTATAAAGACTCATAATCTCTTTCCCACCAAATTAGCTAATGGCTCTGGCTGGGGGTGGGATGTGTGTGTGTGTGTGTGTGTGTGTGTGTGTGTGAAGTGGGGGGGGGAAGGGAAAGAGAGTGTTATTTACCATTGAGCTATTTTTATATTTTGTAACAAAAGTCAAAACATCTACAACAATACAAAGGTGAAGGACTCAGGTGTAGGACTGGGACAGCTCAGCTCCAGGATGTCCACACAGGACTCTGGTATGACAATGGAAAGGAGGGAGGGTGCTTTTGAATAATATATCAGCTCTGTAGTCAGTGCCTTGGTCTGCGAGTAAGAAACAGGTGACATGGAAGGTTGCCTTTTCAATCCCTTCTCAAAAGTATTTTAAGAGTAGGTCTTATGTTTGAGCTATTTATCCAAAGAGTAGAGTTTTGAGATTCATAACCCAGAGCTTTTAGTCTTCCTGGCATGTTTTATGGAGGGAATGGTCATTAGTGAAATATGAGGATGAAATGGCTAATGTCTTGCCTGCACATAACAAGAAGAAATCCCTTCTTAGCCTAATGCTACTGGGGCACTAGAAGGTGTGCCGCAGTCTCGATCATTAAGGAAAAGTGTGCTTCATGAAAAATGTTTAATATCTGAACTTACCATTGCTGGAGGTTGATTTGACTTACAAGTTTATTATTTCTGTGGTTAATACAGAGAGCATCTAAAATATGTGGTTCTGCTAACTAAATGGTCCTCAAAAACCCTTCCTCTTTTTGCTGCTAAGATTAAATAATAGTCTTTTTCTGCTTTGTACACAC